AACTCTTAACTCCTCCTTTGTCCGTGCGCTGTGTAATGAACGGAATGTCTCTGTTAACTTCGGCTTTAAAGAAAGAGGGAAAACAGACGGAGAGAGCATTGGGGCCTGTACGAGCCGCGCTTGCACACTGACATTTATGAAGTTACTGGGGCATGTGCGATGCGCCTGTGAGCCTTGGCACAAATGGCCCGGTAATGAATGCTGATAATAGGCCGAGGCTAAGCACATGACATGAGCCGGGTCTCGGTGGCACAGACCTCCGCCTATACACGCTGACAACAGCCTTTCACGGCACAAAACAGCGCAGGGGGCTCTTTGTTCGCGCGTTGATCCCAGCCCCATCATTAGCGCTCATTACCGCTGACCAGTTTGACAACCTTATTGACTCCCGTCCCCTGCCGTCCTCGCTCTCAATAGAAACGGAAATATTCAGCCATTTTGTCCTCGCCGACTCAATGAGAAGCATGCACTTGTCCGCTGGGCTACACATAGGCTTTGTGCCGCTGGGTCCAAAGGTTTTGTGCGCCTCCAGAAACGCGCACTAATTGACGACAAATTGGAAGAAATCAGGAGTCCCATACGCGAAAAAGTTAGGCTCTATCCTGGCCCATACTTAGCTTATTTATGGTTTGAAGCAATTCATGGTGGTCACACAAGCTTGTTTTGATTCGAGCAGGTGCTACAAACCGACTTTTAGTCATGGGTTAAAAGGGCACGAGGGTTAATCCTAGATTTACACACATGCAACACTAAATAGGCTGTAGCAGAGAGTGCCGCTAGTTTAAGGGGCAACACTGTTAACCTGTATTTAGACTTGTGTCTGGCATCTGCTTCATTTAACAATAAATAATAATAGCAATAATAATAATACTATTAATAACAAATTATAAAACACATATTATGCTATGAACACTAACTCCGTCTGATTTTTGATCAATCTGAATTCCCGAATTCAAAAATGAATCTCCTCGTCTGGCCTGAGCTTATCGTTGATTTCCTTGCATGAAGAGACGATGGTTGGCGCTTCTTCATGATTAGTATACACGACCTCAAACTAATTTCCACCGTTTGGCTGCTGTGATCTGTGCGCAAATCATCCGGGTTACTGCGTCGGCCTCTTGCTGACCTCTCGCTGTCAACCCGTATTACAGACGCAGAGGACGCCGGCCAATTAGGCCCAAGCTCAACGTGTCAGTGCGGCATCACCAAACACGGCACAGGCGAAACAAGATCTGCTCCACACGTAACAAACTCGCGGTCAACACTCTTCAACAATGCTTTATTAAGTTATCTTTTCTGACTCAAACACATTTGACTAAAGCGCGCATGCTCCACAGGTCACCTGTACAAGGTTGACTAGTATTAAAAAAAACACCGAGCAAAGATCAAGTCCTGGACAGAGCTGATCGTCGTTTAAATAGACAAATAAACGTTATTTATAAAACTTTAAAAGAAAGTAAAAATATGTTCTTTTTCAACATGAAATACGCACGAGACACTGGTGAGGCACACGTGCCTCTTTTCCCTTTTTACATGGACTGTGTCTGTGGCCGTGATCCGAGGGTCCAGTTCATTCTGGTTTGGCTCCACGTCTACAGTCAAACCGGCGTCGTTACTCCGCTTGGCTCGATTCCATTAGAATGAGGCACTATCTCCCGCAAAACCCGAGTTCAGGGCCGCTGTTCAAATGTCACATTCACTGTCGCTGGAGGTGATGGAGATGGCGGAGGCCGCTGCTTTACTGGACAGACTGGCCTCTGGGCTGGAGGCAGGACCCAGACGGTCCACTGTGCCGTCGTCATCCGCCAGAGAGCGGACCGAGCCGCCCGACAGGACCTGCTGCTGCAGCCTGCCTCACAGAGAGAAGACTCGGTCAGTGTCATCACAAGGATTCTATTATTTTTTATAAATTGTTATCAACATAAAATCTGAACATTATGAACAAAGTGAAGTAAAAACCAACACTATTAGAGCATGTTTATACAGGCCGATATAAAACAAATATTTTAAAATAAACTGTATATTTAGACTCATAGTCTTTTATAGGCATGTGTGTGTGTGTGTGTGTGTGTGTGTTTACAGTCTATGGAATATATACAGCACGTTTTAAATAGACATTATGTGGTATGATAATTATATATATATAATATATAAATAGTATATATATATATTATTTAAATATATAAATATTTTTTGTAATAACAAATATTATCATAAATAACGAGTCATTGTTGAATTACACAGGGACAGCACTTTGCCCAGCATACACCAAGCATGTTGAAGAAACCATTTCCGTCTCGTACCTGTTCTTGGCGGCTGCAGCTCGGTCTCTCTGTCTCCTGTTCTTGAACCAGTTTCCCACTTGCGTGGGTGTGAGTCCTGTGGCCTGGGCCAGTTCTCTCTTTTTGCTGGGGTTGGGGTAAGGGTCCTGCAGGTACCATTCTCTCAGCAGGTGCCGTGTGCGCTCCTTGAAGCAGTGGGTCTTCTGCTCTCCATCCCAGATCGTGCGCGGCAAAGGAAACTTCTTGCGCACGCGGTACTTGTCTACGGGTCCCAGCGGGCGGCCCCGCAGCTTCTCGGCCTCCTGGTAGTGCGCCTCCAGCCACAGCGCCTGCAGTTTGCCGTGGGACTCTTTGGTGAACTTGTGATTCTCCAGGATGTGATAGAGCTCGCGAAAGTTGCCGGAGTGGAAGGCGACCACAGCGCGCGCACGCAAAACGGACTCGTTTTTGTTGAGGACTTCGCAGGCCGCGGGTGCCACGGGCAGAGACCAGAGGAAACGGCCCAGGCGCTCCACATCCCCGCTCTCCTCCAGGGTCTCGCACACCCCGGCCACCTGCTGGGGGCTGAAGTTCAACATGGGCAGCTGGAACATTCCTCTTCGGCTCCGCCGTGCTGAAGTCCTGCGCACAGCGCCACACACAAGGCGATCACAAAGTCTGAGCGGCGAGAGACAGAGCGGTGCCGAGAGAGCGCTGTTTCAGCGCATCATCGGGCTGCGGTCTCCAGCAGTCCCCAGCAGTCCTCAGCAGGCAACAGCAGGCAACGGGCGGATAGAGACCACAGAGAGGTGTCGCGGTGGGCAGGATTAGCGGCTGATTAGAACACGGGTGAGCAGGATATTTTTTAAAGGAGAGAAAAAGGCAGTCAGCCTCCAAAGAGCTCCTATTGGACTTGGTAGATTGGGTGCGCGGTTGCCATGGAGGCACGTCAATCACTGTCAAATCTGTCCAATCAGACGTAAGGAACGCTTAGCACCTCCCATTGCAAGTATAGAATCCAAACAGTTTGAGTTTTTACGTGGGAGCAGTGTCTTGTGTCGTTCCCTTGTCCTATATGTCTTTGTGCGACGATCTGCAGCTCAGCGTGAACTCTGCAGCACCATCAGCTCAGCGCACATGCAGAGCCCTTCAAACACGCACGCCCACGCACGCGCACGCACGCACGCACGGCCCTACGGCGCAGCATGGGCATCACTTTGATTCATCTGCGTTTCTCTTCAATCCAGAAATTTAAATAGGTTTCTATATTCATAATAGGTTATAACAGAACCATTTCACTGGAGAAATATGCAACATCCAACAGGAGACCCCCAGCCTCGCACCGGGAGAGAGCGGGAAAAGAGCTGTCAATGCAGGCCTAATCTCTGGGAGCAGTGAAACGCGCAGCCTGCACGTATTTGCGTGATGTGCGCGTGGCCCTGCGCCGTATCAAGCACAGTCCGTTTTGTGCGCGAGCTGATTTAGTAAATAAGAGGGCGGATAAATAGCGCAGATGGTTTGAAGTGTCAGGTCAGATTATTTCAGGGCTGCATACAGTAGGGAAGTTCATTCTGATGGAAAAGCCTGATATTATTCTCACAGATCCACCCCCACCTCCACAGAGTGCATGTCTCTGACTCCCCCTGGGCTCTTGTACATGAATTATAGAGCTACAACGATGGACTGATGAATGAAATGTCGCGCAAAGACGTTCATCACACTACATCTTAAAATTATATTTTCTAATAAAAATCTCTATGCAGTCGTACGACACTTATGTGTGTAAATAAACAGCCTATGCAGGAATGGCGACAGACAAGGTGCTTCTCTGAAATATTTAGGCAAGTAAATGTTTCATCCGTGCTGCTGCAGAGGCCAAACTATGGAGGCAAGCGTCAATAAAATATGAGTGACTTTGGGATGTTCTAAACGGTAGAGCTAACGCATGTCTGTCTCTGACAAACCTATAGCAACAGACGACACCAGGATTACAAACAGAAGGAACTGCACAAATCATGTTTTGATTTTTATGTTGTTGTTAACAGAATATTTAAACTATTACTATTATTATTATTATTTATCACTATCATTATTGTTATCATTATCATTATTATTATCTCCTTATATTAGGCTTTATAGGACATATGGGACAGATACATTAAAGAGACAGGAGAGTGAACAAACAACAGATCTATTCTGATATTCTGGATTTGAATAAATATGACAAATGTGTTCTTTGGTGTTGTTTTGGTCAGGCCTTCATATGCTGCCTTAAAGTGTGGTAATACATAAATAATGATTATTTGCAGTATTAAGGTAATTATACAGTAAATAAAAAAATAATAATAATAATAATAACGATGATGTTCGTAATAGTTTATATAATAACTATAACAATAGTCATAGGTGATGTCAGGCCTGTGTCATGCATCCTGACACCAGTATCTCCGGTCACAGCACAGGGAGCTCTTTGACACATGGACGCACTAACAATGGAATATACTCCAGAATCTTACAATAACAAGCCCTGATGATGACACAGAAATATCCATTTATTGTATTTGCATTTTGTGTATTTCTGTTTAAGCATAGAAAAATATATCAATTATAAAACAACATAAAATGACTAAAAAAGGCACAGAAGGACTGATAATAAAATGCTCTCAAAGCATTTTTTTTTTGTTTTACAGTAAGAGGGCAGAGAATGTCCCAGCATGGAGGCCTACATGTCGAGGGGTCATGTGTGCAGGAGGAGTGGGCAGCAGCAGGGAACAGGCTGGAAGTGACCCAGATTCCCCGGGATCAGTGGAGCAGACGAGACGCTACAAGAGCCAGTCACCAACAGTCCTCCTGCTCCATCCCGCACACACCCTCCCCCACGACGGTCATGGAGCCACGCAGATGTGTGCAAACACGCTAAACAACAGCAATGCAAGCTCCAGAACATCATGTGACCAGCTCTGTCACTGCAGGGCGGCCCAGTGTCAGGACACACAACACAAAACGACAGAATAATCCTCTGAGAATCTGCTCCTTCTGACGATGGGGACATTTGGATTGTCCACCATAAAAAAGCAAATATGACTCTTTCAGAAATTGCACATTCAGCTAATGTACAGTACTGAATATCTCATATGTCTGTGTATGTACTGTGGTTTTTTAACCTTTTGATTTCAGGTTACAGTCTGATGTGATATGTGCACCAGCAACACGAGTGCATGTGTGACAGCAGCACTCACTGTGGCAGAGCTCATGTAAAGCAGAGCAGCACAAAGCTAATGTACAGAGCCTCAGGCCACAGCCACAGCAGCAACCACAGTCCGTAAACATGCGTCTGTTTGCTACATGTCACTTTGGCTTTTACCGCTTTACGACAGACTGTCCCAGCCCTGGATTAACTTTCCAATTAAGATATCATGTCAGTAACACTCACGCTGACCCCTGCACGACCCGGATGTGTTCTGGGCCTGGCTCATCTCTGGGACTTACAGTGGACTCTGCAGCAGCACAGCACTGACTCAAGGGTTAAGCTTAAGCTGTGAGCTGTGTTTTCAGACCCACTTACCCCCAGGGCAGCGCGGCTCTCTGTGCTGCGTTTAATCTGTGGATTTGTGGTAACAGAGAAGACTTCTTATCCGCTGACCCATTGGCCCTGTGTAAATGTAATCCATCCCCCAACACCTCCCCTGCCTTTGTGCGCCATAGAGGGCCTTACCCACCGCGTCATTCTCTGCTCTCTCAGCTTTTTGCAGTATTTATTGGATGGCAGTGACAACAACAATTTGAGGTGGAGCGTTAGAAGTTGTTTGAAGGCACTACTATTTAAAGCTTGTCTTTACATATATAATTTATGCAAATTTCTTCTTTAGAACAATGAAAAATGATACATCTCACCTGTCGTTGGTGGTAGCTGATCTGTGAGTGGAGTGAAAACAGAGAAGCTGTGAAACAACCTAAAAACAAGGTTTGATAAAAAACAGCCTTTATGATGTTGATTTGAAGAGGCTCTTAAAACATGTGTTGGATGTTTGGGCTATTTAATGACAAGAAAACCATTCATGGGAATCACAAGTGTGATTGCACCTGGAATGTGCTTCAGACCATATAATAAGGAGATACTAAAACAGCAGAAGCTCAAAAAGCAACAAGACGTATTTTCTTGTAGATGCATTTTGACCTACATTTGTTCTGTGGCATTTGGTGAATCTATTATGTAAAATGCAGTGTTTCCCATGAGTTTGGTGGATTTTCCCTGGATGTGCACATGCTCAAACCGTAATAAATTTGTTTTTTTGTATTTTTAAAGCATTAATATTAATATTAATATGAAATAAAATATTTGTAAACATAATTTCAAAATACTACATTGAATGTGAGATTGACGGGTAGTGGTCCTGATGTTAGATCAGCCCCAACTACTGTGCAGTGTTTTTGTATTCTCTGGTCAGATGAAAGCGAATATTGGCCCTCGCTAAAGAGCTGTTCATTATTTTCTTAATTCCTTTTTCTGAATGGGCCTGTAGGACATAATGAAGCAGAAATGCATTTGAAACAATTCAGAATTGTCTAAAAGTTAGTTATCATTTGTACTCCATTCTTAGAAAGGCCTCATGCCTTCTGGGAGTCGGAACCAAGACCTTCTAATTTATATATTACATATATATCACATATAAAATATGTGAAAACATTTTTTTTTTTTTTTTTTTAAGATTAACAAACAAATTACATAAAGACATATATAAGTCATGTTTTTCTCATATGAACAACATCTACTCCATTATGTCTTGATGATCAGTGTCATATTCTAGTTAGATCTTACGCAAATTATATCTTAAAAGCTAAATACAGTTGCATCACTGGAAGTCAAAATAAGGTAATAAGGTTTGTCAGTGAGCAGGGCCCAAAGAGAACACAGATTTTCATCTTCCTATCTACTTTTCAGGGCAACTAATGTAAGCTCTTTCTCACACTCCATTGTGTGCTTGCTGTTTCACCCCTGTTGCAGGTCAAACATGTAAAATGTAAGTCACTGAACTAAATGTGGCTCAAAAGCAAAGCCAGGGCAGGCGAGAAGCATCCTTGGCAGAGAGCCATTAGGAATACCTTGAATCTCGCCTTTTTGTAAACAAATTTACAGAGCATGTTATAGAGTGCATGCAATTATTACATCCATTCCGCTCTTGAATGTAGTCAATTTCAGAGCAGATAAAGGACTAAATGAAAGCAGTCCTGTGCCTGGCACACACCACACAGCTTTATTACTGCTGTTTGTGAGCCTCCATAAAACCAGAGACATTACAAATACATCAGTGCATGTGCATTAGGCATATTGTATGTGTGCCACTGTCTCTGCTGGAGCTAAAATCAGGAACAATGAGCGTTTTATAGTTGTAGAGTTTGAGACAAAGTTAAAGCGCACACACTGTGGCATATGTGATGTTACATCCAGAGGCGTGTGTTCTTTTGGCGTGGGCCCTCTGTATTCAGACGCATGAGGCTGTGAGCTCAGGGCTGAATGACTGTTCTGTCGCTGGCCCGGACAATGGCCCAGTCTTCCAAACCAGGCAGTGGACAATTTCTATTTGTAATCTATGATTTTTCTCTCAACATATTCACACCTTTCACATTTATTGCTACAAAGCTGACATTTTGTTCTTCCCCTTTTTATCAAGGTTTTTGACAGTGCATGGATAGAAGTTTGGCCCCATTCCAAATTTTCAGTCACCACTGAGTGGGACTGAAAACCCATCTGCTCATTTAAGACAAGTTGTTTACAAAAAAGGCAATAAAAAGGATTCTCTTTGTTTATTCCAAATTTAGTTTTTATCTTACATGAATGAAATAGTTCTATTTCATTCAAACAAGAATAATGATCCTCAATAATGTAGCTTCCAGATTACAAATCTCTCTCCTTTCAAATCATTAGAATAGTTAAGTTTAAAGACTTTTATAAATGGTTAGTAAATAAAGAGAATCGAAATGAAAAACAGAACAATATTCTTGTCGAGCTTTGTTTTCCACCTGAACAAAACCAGGTTTTGTGGATCATGGACCAGTTTAAGTTAATACAAAAATATATGATTAAAAATATCCTACCTCATTACATAAAAGGTCTAATATAAAGCACAAGGAATCACAAGATAGTATTTGAATACAACCCGAGAACACACAGGCAAACCCCGATTAATTACCACCACAAGCATGAGAGAATGAGGGAAAGTGAGAGTGAGTGAACTATGTCTTAATAAAATGAGACTTGGTCTTGTGAAAAAAACGCTGTATTCTACAGATAACGACATTATGTTAAGCGAAAGCTAGTAGGGCTGGTTTTACATTAACTTATTATATTTCAGCGCATTTGACATCAGTTTAACCGTAAATACTGCTTTGTTCCACTATTCATTACACAACTATGACACACAACTATGACACGCAATCATGACGCGCTCGTGTCCCACACAGATGAAGAACATACATGTTTTTCAAGGGATCCCTGCTTGTTGCCATGGAGATTAAGGCTGCATGAGTTATTGAACAAATATCATTGCAATATTTATATTGTAATGATGTGCGTTAATTCTGGTTTCTGTTATAAGAAAATCATTGAACCTTTCGTTTATGCATTAGCTTGTTTTTACTTTGACCAATCACAAGCACCACTTTGTCATTGGTCAGAGCGAGCGCACAAACTCAGATGTCTGAAAGAGTAGCTCTACAGTGAAACTGAGAGCAGCAAAAACACTCTTCACATCCTACAGGCAAAGAGGTCTCACCCTGGTGAGTTACACAATCTTTTTATCTTTATTTTACAACAGTGAAATCAACGTATTTAAAATGCATTTGCCACTTATTCATCACTTGTTTGACAGAAATGGCAAAAAATCTAACTTTCAATGCAAATAAATAATGATGCATTGATTTTATATAGTTCTTTTCTTACTTCACATGGCATCATTCATAATCTGAGGAGTATTCTGAAGTGTGGTTTTAACATTCTTATTTCAAAGCCATACTTTATTGCCCCCTTAGGGAAATGTGTCTGCATTTGACCCATCTTCCCAATCCTACTTGGGTCTCTATCAGGAGAAGCGGTCGCCAAAGTACATATTGATGTTCAGCTCAGTCAGGACCAGAGCTGGAGGATTTTACACATTGATTGTACATGTGTTTTAGTGGTAGTGGAAACCGGAGCACCTGGAGGAAACCAGAGCAGACACGGAGCAGACACATCAGCTGGTTGGTTTTACCCTACTCATGATGTGTTGTAAAAACAAACAGACTATAATGTGTTGAAAATGGCACCTTCTCTGTCAATGTTGAAATCTAGGTGAAAAACAGATTATTTTCGCTTTGCCACAACGGAGGGATTTATCTTCACTCCTTTTAATGTACTGTGATTATTCATGATTTTATTGCCTGACCATCTTGTTTTATTCATCCCTTTGAGTTGCCTTGTGTATGAATTGTGCTATACAAATAAACTTGCCTTGCTTTGCCTTGTAGCATTAGAAATCTCTGCAAACTCCATTTAGAAAGGCCCTGGATCAATCGCTCCTAACCCTAAAGCACTGCAATAACAACTTTAATTATTCTGTATCATAACCGGACTTATAACTCACACAAAACTAGTGTTACAAAGACCACAACAAAAACTGCTAGTGCCAATAAATCTTACAACACCCAAAGGTGACAGAGTCAAGCCACATCAAGATCAGAGCGTCCTGTGGCAGTGGGCGGGGCTTCACACACACGCAGCTGTCAATAAACGTCTTCTTTAGCCACACGCTGCTCTTTTGTCTGCAACATCTCTGCTTGTCCAAGGGCCACCTCCACTCCCCGTAGTCTGACATGATGATGCGCAAGAATCAAGCTATAGAAGAAAAAAAACAGCTTCTGCATGCATCGTATCTGACTACAAATGTATTTCATGAGCAATAACAACCATACATCTCAATAAACATGTGAAAAAAGAAGTTCAGTAAGTGGCTGAATCCAATCCATTAGCTCCAGCTGGC